TACGCCAAAACAAGAGCAGAAAACGACTTTACGTGGCTACGAAGATGACTTTAATCTTGAAGGTTTCTCTCATTCTCTTAATCTCTCATTTCTAGCCGACTGAATCCAGATATCGCCACTTCTTGGACACAACCAAGCACGCAACTGAAAATTATGCATCACCCTTTACCTGAAACGAAATCAAAATAAAACCTTCACCTCTGTTCACCCAACCATGTATGGAACATAAAATTATTCTACGCATCACCATTAGCTGATGCCAAGTTCCTGTAGCAAACTCATATCCCGGCAAGAAAACTCTTTCCTTAGACAATCCTACCGGAATCCATGAATCGCTTCCTAAGAATATGTCTATGGAGGAAACTGAAAATATTTCTAAGCAAGAAAAAAGCCGAAACGCAGTTCCTGTAGCTAGGATGGCGAATCGAAGCAAGAAAAAGCAGCAGTCATAATCGCCCGACCAGAAATCGCCGTCTCTAGCATCGTATCAACTACTATAATGAACATTTTTCCAAGCATCACAGTCAAAAAACAGTTCATACAGTTATGATGACGTTTTGAGGCAAGGATACGCGGCAGTCATTTTATGCCGTCTGTATAAAAAAATCGACACCTCTGCCAACGTACCACGTTCTAGACCGACATTTTTTAAGCATAACTAACATCCGAAAAGGAGTTAATATAGCCATGTATCGAATCGAAGCATGTGAAAGTATTTTTCACCCAGTTATTGGGTTGGCCAGAAGGTTCTAGCAGTTTTCGACTTTTCTCATTTCTCGTCTCAAGAATTTTTTAGAATTTTTCCGCTTCGCCTATAGTGTCCCTTCTTGCCTGCAGGTTCAATGTATTTTTTATCCCTATCCGCCAAGTATGAGTCAAAAGTTCGACTTTGACCGTGACCATCTCCGCACCTGCCTCTATGAGTTCCGTCTGGGAGAGAAGGCAGCCGACGCCCATCGCTGTCTGTGCCAGGCGTTTGGGGAAGGAGTCATCAGCGAGAAGACGTGCTTCAATTGGTTCGCTCGCCTCAAGTCTGGAAACTAGTGTCGAAGACAAGCCGAGGTCGGGGCGCCTGTCGGAGTTGGATGATGAATCGCTACTACAACTGGTGGAAGATGTTCCCCGCATGATCACTCTTGATATAGCCGCCGTCCCCGGGTGCTCCCACTCCATCACAGAACACCACCTGTCCACGATCGGGAAGGTCTCGAAGCCCAGGAGTTGGGTACCTCATGCTTTGACACAGAAGGACCTCGACCAGCGTCCCGACACCTGTGCACTTCTCTCCCGCCGATGGCGCTTCGACTGGCTCGACGACGTCGTCACGGGGGATGAGAAGTGGGTGATGTGGGCGAACCTCTTAGAAAAGCGATTTCCAAGAAAGGGAGCGAAACTGGAGTTAGCGGTTTTACTCCATAAAAACAAGGAAGTGCAACCGCTCACGTCTTTCCCGAGAACAACCACTAACTTTTTCTACTAGTTCTAAAAGTACTCTCCCTCACTCGCTTCGCGTTCTTAAAAAAAATATATGGATTTTGCTTTTATAAAGGAGTAATAATCGATTGCACTTCCTCGTTTTCAGCGAGTAAAACTCCAGTTTCGCTCCCTTTCTCGGATATCGCTCACTTTTTTCTAAGAGTGTACCCGCAAGCGTCAGAGGGTAGACGCCGATGAATGAATGATGAATTGACACTTCATGCTGTTCACAATGGAGGGGGGATGGATCACATAGTTCAAGGGTGGCCGAAGGTGATGTTTTCTAAGGGTACATTGCTTATTGCATTCGTGTCGCACTTTGGCCACCCCTGTCAGAGTTTGGGTTAGGTACGAAGAGTTAAGTCCAGGGTTGGTCGCCTGAGGTGAAGGTTTTTTTCCTATTGTTCCTAGCAATTCATTTTCACTATACTTTGAGGTTCTCATATGGTTTAAAGGGACTCTTACACGGCATCATAATCCGTGTTTTTTTTTCCTATATTACTGCAGAAAACATGGAATGTCCCAGATATACAAGATGTCCCAAAGGTCCAGGGGGCCGTAACTAGAAGAGTCTTATTTATTATGACGCTTTTTGCTGTTATTAGGAGGTTAGAGGATATTTATTAGCGTAACTGGAATGCATAAAATTGGACTCATAACGTCCGGTTAGCTAAGGATATAATATCACCCTAATAGACCATTTAAACAGCCTTTTAAAATCTGTCGTGACTGTTAATCTCGTCATAATTTGAAAATTTTATTGAAAGCGTCTCACAACACTGTCTCTAAAAGCCTTGGCATTACATGATGCAGGTGCATCTGAGCTTCCCAAGTCAGCATCTTCAGCGACGGTAGCATCTTCCGACTCAATGTCAGGGTCTGGAACTCCGGCTCTTCTGCACATGTTGTGGAGTATCGCACAAGCCACAATTATTTTGCAGCATTTTTCAGGTGCTACTTGCAACGATCCGCATGACTTGAGCAGACACCTGAATCTCGACTTCCAAACCCCAAAACAACGTTGAATGATGCATATTGTCTGCTTGAGAGCTTTATTGTACTTTCTCGCAGAGGAAGAGGGAATCTTTCATTCTTTCATTACGGGGGTCAACAAGCATATTTGAAGAGCATAGCCACTGTCACCAAGCAAATATCCGTTCCCCAAATCCCCATTCTCAAATCGCACTTTGAGGTACCATGTATTCCAGATGAAGCTGTCATGTGTGCTTCCTGGTCACTTGGCAACAATGTTCGTGAAGATAAGATCAGAGTTGCAGATGCCTTCAACGTTGATTGAATGAATGAATTTTCTGTTCACATCAACCTCCTCATCACCAGAAGGAGCCTTGATGGAAATTTGACTTCCATCAATTACACCAAGGACATTTGGGAATTGTGCGATGACAAAGAATCCTTGCTTTATGGCATTCAGTTCCCTGGGTTCTTAGGGAAAATGAATGAAATCATTCGCTCTTTGGCACAGAGCTTCTGATACATCCTTGATGGCTCTAGAAACAGACATCCTTGTCAAGCCAACGGGGTTGCCAGTTTCACGAAATAAATATCCTGTTGCATAATATCTCAGAGCAATGAGGACTTGAAGGCTGACCGAAAGAGATCGCGTTCTACGAGTGGGTCTTGGTAGCTCGTCCAGCAATTGACATAGGCGCAGGATTTCACTTCGAGGCAATCAATACCTGTCTATCAATTCCTTGTCGTCATATATTTCGAATGGGTTCGTTCTATCTCGGAACACACGCGGCACTTTTTCCTTTTTCGATCTTTGAAGAAGGCAATTCCAGCTGCCATTTGATCACTGAAGGGACCAGCTTTACCTATCGTAAAAAGGATCCAAGATCGACTTCCTGAGAGCCCCATGCATTTCCGTTTCTCACGGGCAACAGGGAGCCATACCTGTCTGCCTCCTGAGCTTTCTTCTACATCCTCCCTTCCGATTTCAGTCAGTCTCCTTCATTTTATCAGTATTATTCAGTTGTCCAAGGAGTGGTTTCGACTTTCATGATGTCAGAAGACGCGTCTACCATCAATAGAAGAAAGAGAAAGGCGAATTTCCGTGAAGATGAACTGCATATTTTGACGGAAGAAGTGGGAAAACATAGAGAAGTGCTGTTTTCCAAGTTCTCGAATTCCGTCACGAATGTGAAGAACAAACGGCTCTGGGATGAAATAACGGCTAAAGTTAATACCGTTTCGCCTGCTGAGCGAACCGTGGATGAAGTAAAGCAGAAGTGCCTGAATGTCAAGTCCGAAGTGAAGAAAAAAGTCAGCTGCGCAAAAAAGGAAGTAGGGAAAACGGGTGGTCCTCGCATCGGTGGTATCAGTGATTTAGACGACAAAGTTGCAAGTGTCTTGAGTCCATCAGCTATGCATGGCATTCCGGGAGGAACTGACTCTTCAGAGGGAAGACCACCACCGAAAGAACCTGCCAAAGTCATCTCAAGAAGCTCAGACGATTTTGGAACCGAACTGGGATGACGAAAAAAGTACTGATTTCCGGAAGTGAAGGAATTTTTATGCTTGCAGAAGATGATGATATCGATAACCCAATACCTTCATTGGATTTGGCCATAGTCGATGACAGCAAACCGTCCTAAAGACGCCAGGAAGAACAAGGGAGCGAGAAGTCAAGGATTCCATCAAGATAATCTTGTCTCCTCTTGTCACTGGCGGAGACAGAAAAGAAAAGGGAAAAGCTGGAGGCAGAGTGGTTGGCAGTCGAGAAGGAACACCTTCTTGTGGAAAAAGAGAGGTTGAAAATCGAACGAGAGAGATTGGACATTCAAAGGAGCAAATACAGTCGGAAATTGCATCCCACATTTAGCGGTGAAACATCTCAGAGTGATGAACCTGTCTATGATGGCTTTGCTGTTCATGAAGAATCTGCCTTTGTGTCGAATTTGCCAAATATTCCTTGAAATAAAATCAACCAGTTGTCTTCTATTCCATCATATACAAGTCGCGCTTCTTCGTTTGGTGTGTCTTCATATTTGTGGTTTATATTGAAAATGCCGTGGTCGGGGAATAACGATGAAGAAACCTAAGATATCGTCAAATTTGACACATATGTTGTTTTTCTGTAAATTCAACGAGCACTTTGGAATAAGTTTTACCTACTTCGTCAAAAATATCATGGAAAGATATTCAGATTTTCGTAGGAACAATTTTTCTTCGCTTCAATTCAGTCAGGTAACTCTCACTCGGTAAGAAACCAAAGTCCAGTCTTCAGAATGCAATGAAAGAAGAAACCACAATGGCGAGGATTATGAAATCAGCGCTATTATCGCTCTATTAGAGGTCCCGACCAATAATAAGAATCAGTTAAATTTTCCTCTATTAGGAATCAAAAAGCTGTTCCAGTTACGCTGATAAATTCCTAATATGTAGATATTATACGGTTAGGCTCTACTAGGCTTTCTAGTTACGACCCCCTGAATCATAGCACGTTTATATTTTTCATTTTTTAATATTGGAGCTAACCTGACCAACTACTGTAATTTTTTCAATTAGACGGGTTCCACAGGATCCTGTAAGTTCAAAATTAATAACTGACTCAGTCATTTAGAACAACTCAATTGCCTGCTTCAGCTTTCCTACTGTCATGCAAGATATTGGGCCGTATGAATAAAACCTGAGCCCTAGCTCAGAGCTTGGAGTCAGAGCTTGAGCTGAGTTTCAGCTTTTCCTCCGTTTAAAATGAATAAAGTTTCGCTGAAGCACGGAGCTTGAGCTCCACATTTTGGAGCTCAAGCTCCAATAATTCTGAGCTTTCCTCGCTCTCGTCCCTTCTCATAGAGATCAGGGAAAGCTGAGTTGCCCGAAATCGCATTAAGAGTAACTTATCAAGTACTTAGGGTATTGGCCGCCAGCACTTCACGGTGCTGGCGGCCAATACCCTAAGTAGACTTGGTTGTTCTATGTGGCGCAAGGCTTGCAGGATTTAATAGTAAGTACTTTACCAAACGGAGAGAACAAACTATCGTGTTCATTTTCCCAGTATCTGGCAGGGCAATCCATATGAAAGGACTTCCATTTTGGGAATCAAAGCTCTGAATCCCGTTTTACTAGAACACACTCGCTGAATTTCAGAGGTAAGTCAGACTCTAAGACGATTCAGGTCAAAAACTGTACGTCTTGGTTTACCTCCACAAGATCAACGTTCACGCAACGAAGAAAGTTTCGTATTATCGGGAGGATATGAAACACGATAAAATCCTCAAGCGTGCCATTTACAACTCATGCACTTGAAGCACCCTTTCCACATCATACTCTTCATACATCTACCCTTCCATATAAGTCCGGAATTTTCTAGAAATTATTGGAAACAGGTATTCCCCAAGAGGACGAAGTAAAAAACTTCGCACACGAGTAGGATTTCGCAAGTAGAACCCAATTAGAACTTACTAGACAAGGTAGGAATTGTATCCAGAGCATAGAAGGTAACCAAGGTTTACATGTTACAGAGGAATTTTTAGGCTGCAGAATCAGAAAATTCAGACAATTTATTTTACAGGGGGCATTGTTGTTGCCATTACGGATCAATATAACGAAAAATGCACCCTGGCGTTATCACATGTCATCATATCTAATATATATAGACGATCGTGACTGACTGACTGACTGACGCTAACTCTAACCATGTTCTAGAAGGGTTAGAAATCTGAAACTTGGTACACATGTACCTTTTGGGATGCAGAGTTCAGAAAAACTTTGGAGGTGTACCGTTTTTCTTAAATATATGTTGCGACAGATGAGGATGTCATTCAGAGAGATAACTGGATGTCCTGGATTCGGTGGTGTAATAGTAGCATCTCTAACTGGCAATCAGAAGGTTCGGGTTCAATTCCCGACCATTCCTTGGCTTACTTTTGTTTTTTTTTTTGCCTTCCATGACCCGTTACTCATTCCCCTCCATAACATTATTTTTGCTTGAGCAAAACGGAGAGACATGGAAAGCTGAAACTTGGCATGGACGTGCCTACCGAGAGGATGAGTTCAGGAAATACGAAACATTTTAGATTCATGCCTTTGGGGCATATTTTTGTGAGCCCACGTTTCTAAATAAAAAAATCTACTTTTCTAATATATATTGACGATCGTGACTGACTGACTGACGCTAATTCAAAAAGGGGAAACGTATAAGGCTGAAATTGGGTGGCATGGAGTTCCATGAGTCTACATTTCAGAAGAAAAAATATTTTCGTTAAAACCCATCAGGGCACTATTTTTTAAGTCCCATTTTCCTGATTTTTTTTGATCCAATAAAACAGAGACAAAAAATACAATTTCCCACAGAAGTATCTGTTTAATGCCTGAGTACAGGAAAAATCCTACGTTTGAAATATATTTCTTTAGCGTAGATTATTGGAGGGAAGTATTTCAAAATGTATTCTCCACCGTTACAAAAAGGGAAACATGAAAAGATTTCAAGTTAGGCACTCTAGAAATCATAGAAGTAATGATTTTGATAAAAATCAAGACTTTCGTCCCCATATGTCACGTATTTCAATGGGGATGTACTTTAAATACGTGCTTGCCATTTTGCAAATAATAAATGAACTAATCCCTATCCAAGGTAATGGAGCGCCGAAGGCGCGACCATAGCGAGTTTGTTTGCCCGAAGGGCAAACAAACTCGCTAGTATCACATATCAGCAAGGAGATTTCTTAGCTGAGTCTGCCCCTTGGCAGACTCCGAATATTACAGTCTCTAGCTCAAGGGTCAACAAAGCTCCCCTTTATTCATAAGAAATGCCACCTTTCACTTAGAAGGGAGCTAGAGATCTCAGGCATGGAGCTGCAGCTCATTTTACTCATAAAATATGGAGCTGTGGCTCCAATTTAGCTGAGCTCAAGCACCAGCTCACTTTTGTTCATACGGGCCACTGTGTCTAACTCTTGCAGTAATAGTTCAGGTCCATTAATCTTTCCATTGGCAGTGTTGAGAATTGCTTTTACAGTAAAATGTCACATTAACAGTTGGGAAATATAAAAAAAGTGGTTGTTATTGCTCGCATTACGCGCAAAAATTCACCATAATTCATTATAATATTTTGAAAATATGTAAGTGATTAATATGTCGAAACATGCCATTTTTCGTCACTTTTAACAGCGGACAGCATGAATGAGTGCATCGCCTTCAATCAGGTCACCCCATGGCCATAACTGGCAGGAGACCCGCCAATAAAAAATAACTTCGCTCAGAGGCAGTGAAGTGAGCAATAGAAGGCAACAAAGGGAATACCAAACTCAATAACGGCAGAAAGAGAAAGATGCAAGTGGCTTGCATCAATACCAGCAACAACAAAAAAGTTACTTTTGGAGTAACAACAGATGATACAAAGAAGGCATCTTCTGTAATGCTTTATAAAACCTGCTATCTGGCTCGTACTAATGAATTGCACCCAAGGTGCAAGGTCCAGTTGTGCAGATGCTGAATACATGGGAACAGAGTCATAATTCCAATGGAATTTATGGATAGCAAAACTTAATCTGTGGCTTCCAAAGATGGAGAATGAATATGAAGATGTTGTGGCAAAAGAAAATTATGAATGACAAGGATAAATGTGAAAAGGAGTACAGAACAGTATAGTACAGGTTGACTGATTGAAGCTAAATCATGATTTAAATTAAGCAAATTTTTTTCTTTACCAACAGGATTCCAAGGAAATATTACTCTGAGTCCTGCAATAATAATTTGCCCAACCCCATACATGAATATATCCAACCTAACAGATGTCTACATTTTTTGTCAAATATATGCTTTTCATGTTAGATCAATGAAGATCGTGTTACATGGCAGCAACAATTCAATCAATATTTCCAGAAGTCAAGTTGTCTGACTGCCTCACTTCTCAATTAAAACATAGGTGAGCTATAAAATGTGCAGTAATTGTGCAATTGGCTGCAAAGAAAGAGAAACATGAGCTAAGATGAGCAAGCTTATGATCCCTGAAGATTATCCTTGCAGATGCCAATTAGGTATACAACCTAATTGGCATCTGCAAGGATAATCTTCAGTGATTACTTTTGTGTTTCTTACTCACCCCTTGTTAATGGGGCATATTGCACAACTTGACGAATCTGGATTTCAAGTCGACATTACAATTTTCGTACAACGCAAAGCCGAAATGGGCATTTTTGTTTACTTATTCCAGCATGCTTCATTTTTAGCACCCTAGGAAGGCTTTTTTTCCTAGTCAGTGAGGTCACAGATGGAGAGCCAAATGGAAAACAATGCCAAGAACTGTAGTTATTTCCTGTAGTTATTTTTAAATTTCAACAAGACTTGTGAGGATGACAAACCATGTGTGCTTCATAACGGATCTGATCATGTCTCCTTATTAGGCATGATAAGGAGACATACCACACTGTTGCAGCTCTGAATTGACTTCAATCTGGCCTCGACCAATGACTTCCACAGTACAATTATCCATAACAAGATCACTATTAATCCTTCTATTGGGTTGATCGGGAAGTTCTGGCCGTTTCGAGATTTTCCAAGGAAAAAATTTTTTGGAACTTTCTCGAACCTTCCACAGTAGCAGTATGTAAAGGGTGTGTGGCGTGATTACGCAGTAGTTGCTGTTGTTCAAAGCCTATAACCATGACTTCCAAAATCGACTTTAACGAGACCGCCCAACGTCAGTGCCTTCTTTACGACTTCCTATCTGGCATCACAGCAACTGAATCGAGTCACCGCATCTGCGCCGCGTTTGGCCGAGGTGCAGTTTATGGAAGGACAGCGCGACGTTGGTTCGATCGTTTCCGGTCTGGAAATCACAGCTTCGAGGATGAGCCCAATTCAGGCCGCCCATCTGAAATCGATTACGAGCAGTTGCAGCACACGGTGGAAGCCGATCCGAGGCAAAGTACCCGCGACTTAGCGACGGCACTTGGCTGCGCCCAGTCCACGATCGTGACGCACCTGGCTGCAATCGGCAAGAAGAGCAAGTCGGGTCATTGGGTACCACACGATCTGACCAACCGCGACCGCGAACGCCGTGCTGAGGTGTGTACTTCGCTGCTGTCGCATGAGCGCACAAACGACTGGCTGGATTCCGTAGTCAATGGAGACGAAAAGTGGATGCCGTACGTCAACTACCGACGCAGGCGCCAGTGGGTCGATGCCGATGCCCAGCCAGAGCCATTGTCGAAAGGTGACCTGCATCCCCGAAAAGTCATGTTGTGCATTTGGTGGGACGTGCAAGGCGTGATCGACTTCGAGCTGCTCCCACCCGATACCAGCATCACCGCCGTCTACTACTGCGATCGGCTGCAGAAGCTCGCTGACAAACTCCGCACGGCACGTGCGATTCCTGCACGACAGCGCAAGGTCGCATGTCGCGAAGATCACACGGCAGAAACTGTTGGATCTGGGCTGGGAAGTAGCCTCACCCTCCGTATAGCCCAGATCTGGCGCCAACCGACTACCATCTCTTCCGCGCTCAGGACGACCATCTCTTCCGCGCTCAGGACGACCATCTTCGCCAGAAATAGTTCAACGATGACGCCGAGGTCGAAAACTG